TACGGAAGGTATGAATAATAATAGTGATTGTGAAGCCCATTCCTGGTGTCCCCCCTCCGTGATATTGCTGGAATATTGCTAAAAGCGGTTTAAAACTAAACTCACTCACTCACTGAAAAATAGTGATTGTCAAATCTTTCATTTGTGTACAACTACAACATCATGAAGATTTTGCAGATTGCGGTTTATTCAAAATTAGCAATGGCATGTGACGCAAACGCGATGGGATCATTAGGAATAGTTCCATCCAGTTAGGGTTAATATAATAACTCTTATCTTACCTCACACATAAATGTCGCTTTCTGATTGGCTGAGCGCTCTTCTATTATTTTCAATGTACCCTGCTTACAAGAAAGTAACATTTCAATAAAATTGCACTAAGGTGCCAGTGTGTCTAAAAACGTATTATAACTGGAGATGGAGAAGACTAAACAACTAGAGACTGTGCATTATCAAACAGAATTCAATTTAGTTATAGCAGATATCGAAAAAGCCATTTACAATTTGTTTCCTCAAAAACAGTTTAATGTCGCATTTTCCGATCTTTAGGAGTCTTTAGACATAAAACAAGGAAGCTGTTTAGGGATTTATTGTCAGTTTGATTACAGAATTTCTTCTTGGAGATTTCTATTTGGCGAGTTAGAGCTAATAAAAAGAGTACACTTTAAAATTAAGAACGCTATGCCTCCTTAGTCAAGTTCACGACCCATACCTTATACTTAATTGCGCAGGTGTTGGATACAGAGGAAACGCCAATATCGTGTTCTAATCTGACAAGAGATATTGATCAGCGAATGACTATTACCCATTTCCATCAGCTGGACGGTGTAAGGACGGTCATAATCAATGCAATTGTTCTTGTGTATGTTGAGCTGAGTGGTATTTTCTTACGTATTTAATGTATTTAATAGAAGAGTATGTGAGCGCGGAATGATTAGATTGGAAAATTATGAGAAGATACCGTATGGTTACATTACATCCTTTGACGCGCGGCAACCTTCTAATATGAAGAACCTGTTTTGTCTCACATCACATTTCCAATGATTTTGTCGACATCCACCGATTAGAAATTAATCAATAAACATTGATGTACCTCGGTTTTCTCAAGCGTCTATCCTAGCCATTTTTCTCCTTCAAAATAGTAGCGTTTCAGCACTGTCCCCGAGTTTGATCGTCACGGAACCGCATCGGGAGAAGGCAACACACTACACGTCAAACATCTACAGCCAGGTTTCTTCAAGGAGGCTGGCTGACAGTTTGTGAGATACATTCATAAGTCCCGAAGACAGGAAGGACTTGAGAAGTGTATGATTGTCAGCTGTTTGAGACCTAAAGTCAATTGAAATCATTTAATCGAATGTCAGTCTTGTCTCAACACCAATTAATCCAACCTGTGTTTTATGTTCAGACAAAAACGTTATTCAAATACAAGTGACAAAACTCATTCCTAAATTTGAATAATCTCTGCTAAAGGCTGAGTCCATTGTGCTCACAATGAAACATTGTATTTAGAAAAACCTGTTACTGTAATTCGTTCCGATGCTGTTTGCACCACCTAGGCGTGGTCGTGTCTAGTGACATCGAAATGAACGTCAAGCCTATGTCAACCTCATTACAGATTCGGCAGTGTGGAACAATTTTGATGTTCGGTTGCGAACCATATTGTGCAAGGAAGGGTCTTTGGACAGCACTATCGGGACACCATACTGTGACCCTTTCCTGTTCCGTTTGACTGGCGTATGGATTTACCTTTCGTTTTGCAGCACGACAACGTCTGTGCTTACTGTAAAGTTCTCGCGATTCGCCAGTGCCGATATCCAGCACAACGTCGGTAGCAAACACTGCAAACGTTGGTGACAAGTCAAGACCCAAGATCATTCCCCGTTGAAAATGTCCGGGATATGACACGTAAACGTGGGCGTCAACGTTGTAGATCGCGTTGGCTAATCTCGGTCAGGCGCTGGCCGAAGAGTGGGACCCTCAAATTGCCATTGGGAAACTGATACGCAAAATGTCAAGTGAATGAATATTGGACGAATGCTAGTGGTGTTTTACGCTACTGATACAAAAACGTCAACTGTGAAATTTCACATCCTAGCCCATCGTCCTTCAAGACCGTTGAAGGTATAAAATTTGCAATCAGTCTTCACTAGAGGTTGTAACGTATTTCCGTTTATTATTACAATACAATTATCACCGAAAACTGATATTTCTTATGGTTTTTACATTGTTTTAGTTCTTTTCAAACATTCCCTGTTTTGGAAGAGTATATGTTCAAACTGCGTCCTCCAGTGGCCATGGGGCGGTGGGGTAGCCTAATGGTTAAAGCGTTGGCTCGTCACGCCGAAGACCCGGGTTCGAATCCCCACATGGGTACAATGTGTGAAGCCCATTTCTGGTGTCCCCCGCCGTGATGTTGCTGGAATATTGCTAAAAGCGGCGTAAAACCAAACTCAGTCAGTCAGTCAGTCCAGTGGCCGAAGTCATCTTGTTGTAGATGTCAGCTCAACAATAAGCCATAAAGTGATGTATGTGGTGAGATGAAACCCGGGAGCACTGGTTCAGCGCTAACAAATGTGAACCGGGATGGTTCCTGTACGCGAACTCAAAGTCAGTGGTCCCTGACACCAGAGTCACAAATATGCAAAACCAGTTGTAACGCTTTTAACCACTTGGTTACCACCTTGTGTAAGGAAAGGAAACACACGAAGGAGTTTGTTTTCAATGTATATCAATACAGATATACCGAGTGTTCTTTTATCTTTCCTCGTGACAGGGTAGTCAAGTGGTTATTATGTTCACAAAATCAGGGTTCGATGGCACATATGGATACAATTTGCGAAGCCAATTGCTGGGATATTGCAGGGATAGTGATAAAAACGACGTAAAATAATACTCACTCATTTCAGTTTCCAATAATCAACAAATCCAGACACTATAGCTATACCACCAGGCATAATTTGTAAAGAGACATGTGTGGTGTACTTGAAAAGCTTCTTCTAACAGGAAACACATTTTTTGGTAAAAGACAACATGTCATCAATGCTTCGGCAAGTATGATAAAAGATTAGAGAATTTCACTGAAGCATAACCATTGCACTTGTTATGTCAATACATAATCACTTCAGTGATCGTGGGAATGTGCACATTTTTGCTTCCCTAACACGCGTAAGCGGCTGCAACGTCTGTGTACATCACTTGTCGCGTACAAGTACAGGCATGTTTTATAGTACACAGACAACAAATGGACATATGTAACGCATGCTGTATTTAGGATTAACCCTTTCTCAGTAAAGTACAGATTCTAGTATATTTCCTGGGTTGAGTCCCATCCGGTATTCGAACCCACACCCACAGAGTCAAGCGCCTAATCGTCAGTACACACAGTTTGCTGTTTAACCCACTCAGGCAAAACGGCTTTAACCAAAAATGGATCCGGAAATCGGACAACTTTACTGAAAAAGCGTTAATTCGAAATATAACGTGTTACATTTACACTTTCTAAATGGCATGTGTATTCATAACAGATGCACAATGGACAAAACTGAGCAGTTAGAAAACGAATGTCCAAATTCATTTCAAAGAGTGAAAGCATCCATTTCGATTCAGTAGTAAATAATACAGATTACTAAAGACAGTCGCGTGACAGGACGTGAATATTATATAGATCCACACGTGAAAAGTTTCAGCTAAATTGACACACCCAAACACCGCCAGGAAGAATCAATGATTCGCTCATCAGTTTTCATCGGAAACCCCACCGAAATTCAAACTCCGTAGCTTTGTGTCATTCAAGGAGAGTTGATTGGTGTGTGGTTATTCCAGCTCGACTGCGTTAGGGATTGATCAGCCCTTGAAACTGCTCGGGTTCTCAGACAGCTTGGTTGGGTTATTAGATCCCTCTTTCTCCTTAGCGTCCCTTAGTCCAAGTTTGAGTCCAGGTCCTCATTTATTGATTACCCGTCACTGCTGTCTCTTCACCTAACTATTGCAACCAGTAATTTCTCTCCATGAAATGTTGAAGCAGAACTAAGCAAGATTTGTTTTCAAACGCCGAAGAGATATCTATGCTATTAGGAAGCTTCCCAGCAGAGCCCTTCAGACTGGGGTGAGATGTTATGTGTAAGGTGTATCAGAAGCTTTAACAGATCAACAGTTGCCTATCACACATCTTTGTAATTTGTCATTGCTGTTAACATACAGTGTGTCTAATTAAATAGAATTGTGTCTACTTGTTTCAATTCGATACATGAACAAACTATATATTGTCAGCTGAAGTCCGTGGGTGAGTGAATAATGGCTAGTGCCACACTATCTGTGTCTTAGCCAATACATTAATGGTTGCGTCGCGCCCCAACGACTTGGCATATTACTCATCATACCAATTACTGGATGACAAGTGGATGATCAGCTTCTTTATTGTATAACAGCGACGTTTCGGTATAGATACCTATACCGTTTTCAAACATGAGAACAAAACTCCATGGCTCATGACGCGTCGTCGAATAGTTTTGTCGTCCTTTTTTCGGTTTGTTTTTGCTAGTTCGTTTGTTTGTTTGTCTCTTTGTGTGTGTGTTTGTTTGTTTGGTTGGTTGGTTGGTTGGATGGGTGGTTGGTTCTATAGTTTTAGGGGTTTTGGGGGTATACGTTGCTTCCAGCAATGTTCAGGTTGTATGACCGCGGTCTGCTAATAATCAAATCTGGACCAGACCATCATTGGTTGACGTCATTAGCATCGATCTACGCATTGCAGATATGATGACATATCATACAAAGTAGCTAGCCTGTTTATCTGATCCTGTAGTAGCTTCTTACGACATGGTTTGCTTTTCCATGACATTTGTGAGGGGCGGGTGCTTTGATAAGAACACATGCTTACCCTCTTTGCAGACACCTGGTGTCATCACTCACTGACACAGTCGTATAATTGTCATCACTTTTTCGCCTTTTACGCCAGAGGAATCCCCTTCTGTGGAGAATCGAGACATTCTACTTCCTGGTGTTTATGTTCCTGCATTGAGATATTCGGAGTTAACTTCCCATGCATTTTATCAGCCATCAGCCATCAGTCATCCTCCACGTCAAGCCCAAATGTAGCACACACTGTACAGGCCATCCACTGGCATTTCACACCACAAACTACATCAAAGGTTTCGAGATAATTACCGAAGCCATTTAAATGAAACAGGCTACCAAAACAACATTAATTTAACATAGCAAGAGTTGATTAAGCTATACACGTGTTGTAATATCTAACAATGTCTCACTTGTTTTCCACTCAAACGTTTAAACGAGTACACGTCTTATCAACGACCAAATGGTATACTCGTGAGTGCGCAAAGTTCTTTTTGAGAATTACAGCGTCAGACATGCATACCCTGTTCAGATGAAAATTTGGTGATAATTCTTGCGTAAGGAAAGGAAACACACGAAGGCGTTTGTTTTCAATGTATATCAATACAGATATACCGAGTGTTCTTTTATCTTTCCTCGTGACAGGTTAGTCAAGTGGTTATTATGTTCACAAAATCAGGGTTCAATGGCACTCATGGATACAATTTGCGAAGCCCATTGCTGGGATATTGCAAAAATAGTGATAAAAGCGACGTAAAATAATACTCACTCATTTCAGTTTCCAATAATCAACAAATCCAGACACTATAGCTATACCACCAGGCATAATTTGTAAAGAGACATGTGTGGTGTACTTGAAAAGCTTCTTCTAACAGGAAACACATTTTTTGGTAAAAGACAACATGTCATCAATGCTTCGGCAAGTATGATAAAAGATTAGAGAATTTCACTGAAGCATAACCATTGCACTTGTTATGTCAATACATAATCACTTCAGTGATCGTGGGAATGTGCACATTTTTTGCTTCCCTAACTCGCGTAAGCGGCTGCAACGTCTGTGTACATCACTTGTCGCGTACAAGTACAGGCATGTTTTATAGTACACAGACAACAAATGGACATATGAAACGCATGCTGTATTTAGGATTAACCCTTTCTCAGTAAAGTACAGATTCTAGTATATTTCCTGGGTTGAGTCCCATCCGGTATTCGAACCCACACCCACAGAGTCAAGCGCCTAATCGTCAGTACACACAGTTTGCTGTTTAACCCACTCAGGCAAAACGGCTTTAACCAAAAATGGATCCGGAAATCGGACAACTTTACTGAAAAAAGCGTTAATTCAAAATATAACGTGTTACATTTACACTTTCTAAATGGCATGTGTATTCATAACAGATGCACAATGGACAAAACTGAGCAGTTAGAAAACGAATGTCCAAATTCATTTCAAAGAGTGAAAGCATCCATTTCGATTCAGTAGTAAATAATACAGATTACTAAAGACAGTCGCGTGACAGGACGTGAATATTATATAGATCCACACGTGAAAAGTTTCAGCTAAATTGACACACCCAAACACCGCCAGGAAGAATCAATGATTCGCTCATCAGTTTTCATCGGAAACCCCACCGAAATTCAAACTCCGTAGCGTTGTGTCATTCAAGGAGAGTTGATTGGTGTGTGGTTATTCCAGCTCGACTGCGTTAGGGATTGATCAGCCCTTGATACTGCTCGGGTTCTCAGACAGCTTGGTTGGGTTATTAGATCCCTCTTTCTCCTTGGCGTCCCCTAGTCCAAGTTTGAGTCCAGGTCCTCTTTTATTGATTACCCGTCACTGCTGTCTCTTCACCTAACTATTGCAACCAGTAATTTCTCTCCATGAAATGTTGAAGCAGAACTAAGCAAGATTTGTTTTCAAACGCCGAAGAGATATCTATGCTATTAGGAAGCTTCCCAGCAGAGCCCTTCAGACTGGGGTGAGATGTTATGTGTAAGGTGTATCAGAAGCTTTAACAGATCAACAGTTGCCTATCACACATCTTTGTAATTTGTCATTGCTGTTAACATACAGTGTGTCTAATTAAATAGAATTGTGTCTACTTGTTTCAATTCGATACATGAACAAACTATATATTGTCAGCTGAAGTCCGTGGGTGAGTGAATAATGGCTAGTGCCACACTATCTGTGTCTTAGCCAATACATTAATGGTTGCGTCGCGCCCCAACGACTTGGCATATTACTCATCATACCAATTACTGGATGACAAGTGGATGATCAGCTTCTTTATTGTATAACAGCGACGTTTCGGTATAGATACCTATACCGTTTTAAAACTCCATGAGAACGTCGTCAAAACTCCATGGCTAGTTTGTTTGTTTGACGCGTCGTCGAATAGATTTTTGTCGTCCTTTTCGGTTTTTTTGTTTTGCTAGTTGTGTTGTGTTTGTTTGTCTCTTTGTGTGTGTGTGTGTTTGTTTGTTTGGTTGGTTGGTTTGGTTGGATGGGTGGTTGGTTCTATAGTTTTAGGGGTTTGGGGGTATACGTTGCTTCCAGCAATGTTCACGTTGTATGACGGCGGTCTGCAAGTAATCAAATCTGGACCAGACCATCATTGGTTGACGACATAAGCATCGATCTACCCATTGCAGATATGATGACATATCAAACAAGTTAGCTAGCCTGTTTATCTGATCCTGTAGTAGCTTCTTACGACATGGTTTGCTTTTCCATGACATTTGTGAGGGGCGGGTGCTTTGATAAGAACACATGCTTACCCTCTTTGTAGACACCTGGTGTCATCACTCACTCACTCACTGACACAGTCGTATAATTGTCATCACTTTTTCGCCTTTTACGCCAGAGGAATCCCCTTCTGTGGATAATCGAGACATTCTACTTCCTGGTGTTTACGTTACTGAATTTAGATATTCGCAGTTAACGTCCCCATGCATTTTATCAGCCACCAGCCTTCAGCCATCGGCCATCCTCCACGTCAAGCCCAAATGTAGGAAACACTGTACACGCCATCCACTGGCATTTCACACCGCAAACTACATCAAAGGTTTCGAGATAATTACCGAAGCCATTTAAATGAAACAGGCTACCAAAACAACATTAATTTAACATAGCAAGAGTTGATTAAGCTATACACGTGTTGTAATATCTAACAATGTCGCACTTGTTTTCCTCTGAAACGTTTAAACGAGTACACGTCTTATCAACGACCAAATGGTATACTCGTGAGTGCGCAAAGTTCTTTTTCAGAATTACAGCGTCAGACATGCATACCCTGTTCAGATGAAAATTTGGTGATACTTCTTGCGCGAGGTGTATATGAGATAAGATCGCCGATTACGGATAGGTCATGAAGTTAAGGTTTCGTTTTGGGTGTTTTTGTTGCTTTGTTTATCATTTATATTTTGTTGTTGAATTTGGAAATTGTTTGTTAAAAGCTGTCTGACCAGTCAGTCTAGTGATTGGCATCACTGACTATTGAAAAAAACAGAACACCCGTTTAATAACCATGGTATTTATAAATGCTTGTATAATTAATTTCACACATCCCTGATGCTTTATACTTCAGTAACATGAAAGAAACCTGTAGAGTTAACACAAAATACTAGACAAATTGTCCCTCGTGTGGAAGACAATGCATTTTTGTTGATTCACGTTAATAATCTATTAACAACTCATTTGGAACGACCATTTCACGATGCTGCCTAACCCTAGTTCAATCATGTCAAGGGGCGGTGAGTAGCCTAGGCGTCACGCCGAAGACCCGGGTTCTGTTCCCCACATGGGTACAATGATTGAAGCCCATTGCTGGTGTGCCCTACTGTGGTGTTACTGGAATATTGCTAAAAGCGGCGAAAGTCTATACTCAGTGACTCAAGCAGTTCAACTCTTTTTCGGAGACGATTTATCAGGTGATCCCGTAAGGTCTCTCTAACGGTACATTTCATCTCCGACACTGTTTTTAACACACATCGACCCACGCAAGTGGAATACAGTGACATGCAACCAAGTCAGAGAGCCTGACAAACCGATTTATTAAGTCGCTTCTTAAAGCAGATTGTGCTAGGAACCTGTATTTTTACCCGGAATTCCCACAGGTATCACGACGTTGTGACATGTGCATATGTGTCATTGTACATAGTTGTAACAGCCGATCGAAATATCAATTTAAGACAAAAGCTCAATATCAGTCAATATACTAAAGTTTGTTGATTCGTCTTGTTTGAAGGAACGACACGTTTTCCACTCACTGACGGCATGGTCGCAGCAGTGTACGAAAGTTGACCTAATGTGTTTACTCTAGTCCCTGAACGATATTTCTTTCACTTTCGTCCATACCCGTAAAGATACGGGTTAGAATTGGTTTTCAGCATCCTACGCCTGTCGTAGCCGGCGACTAACCTTTCATTAAGGTGAAGGTGAAATCAGCTTTAACGCCGCGTTCAATATTTATGCTCTTCGACATCATCGTGCACCCTATTCCGGTCTAACCCACTATGCTAGTTCACTTAGATGCCGCAGTTAAATATACCCGTGAAGATCTGGGTTAGAATTGGCCTTCAGTAACCCATAAGAGGCGACTGACGTGATCGGGTCAGGCGAGCTGACTTGTTTGTCACATGTAATCGTATCCCAAATCCATAGACCGATGCTGATGTTGATCACTTGATTGTCTGGTCCAGACTCAATTATTTACAGTCATATAGCTGGAATATTGCTGAGAGCGGCGTTAAGCAACAAACAATGAAAACCACTTCCGTTCAACTCTCCTGAATGCAAAACGCTAATTTGGGTTCTGAATCCTCGAGCTAACTTTCCGATTTACATGGAGTCATTAAAGTTTTGAGAGATAAATCGGTTGTCTAGTGCATACAGTTAAATTTCGATTTCCGAATTGAAACAATAAGCTGACCCAGACATATTCACGCAGAAGAATTCAGTGTGAAACCAACAAGTACCAAGAAATGCAGTATACAGATATCATTTGCATGATACAATTGACCAGGCTTACACATCAATATAGCATATTGATACAGCATAACACATATAGCATACAACAGAGTGACAGTACAAAATTCGATGGCAGCACTGTTTCAATATAGCACTAACGTCAGTGATCGTGACATTCTCCTAAATGTGGTCAAGCATCCAACATAGAATGGATGTCCATGTCGAAATGTTATCTTCACATAATCGCTGGCCTTTGTATAATGTTAGAGTAGAGATACATGCGCTCATTTACATAGTCGAAATACATTCTAGAACGTTACGTAAAATGCTGGAATACTCCATCACTGTTCAAAAAGATAGCACTTGACCTCGGTAGCCCTAGCACAGAATAGTGACCCTTCAAGCCACAACTCCAATTCATGTGCAACACCCAATTTTTGAAAGATCGATCCCTTACCTTTGGTAAAAGGTCGACACCCTGTCCGCACAAAAAGACCAACACCCTGAGCATACCTTAGTTTTAAGGTCGACATCCTGTTCTCATCCTGATTGCAAGTATGGCATCATGCGCATACCTTTGTCTGAAGGTCGACAGTCCATGCATAGTAACGGTATATATTTGTTATCATTTGATTTGATTCGTTGACAGTATGAACACAGCATGTAATTCGACTGTTGAATCTCCTACCATATTCAAAACATCGTTGAAAAGAGCTGTGTCTTATTCATATTTTCAATGAAAAGAAAGAAACAAAGACTTCGTGTCAAAACTACAATTCTTTTAATCGTGGTAAAATCAAAGTAATGGCACGATACTTTGCAATACGAGTAGGCCAATCCGGTGTTACCGGTACTAACTATCAAACATAGGCGGCAAAACATTTTCCATAATTATAAGAAAGCAGTGTCTTTTACAGGTGAGAATCGGTCTTCAACAACCCAGGTTTGACATTATAGAATGTAAACCAGATCGAGAGATCAGGCTCTCTGAATGTTGTCGTCTCCCAGCTGCATAATTCGATGATCAAGCAGTTGATTGTCTGGTCCGGGCCCGATTATTTACAGACCGCCGCCAAACAGCAATCACAATGCTGACTTTGGCATTAAACAACAAATAAATAATTGTAAGATTATGATTAAATCCTAAGCAAGTGATGATATCAGTGTTAGCGAAAGGTCCGGGATTACAAAGAGTCATCTCAAATAGTCCAATTTATGCCTTGGCTGTTAGGTTGTGAATATCACAACCGGCTATCTACCTATACAGCTGCTCGGACACAGTATGAGGACGACATCACGTGGAAGTATAAAGTTTGTTCAATCATGTCACGGTACACAACATTACAAACACCATTGAAAGAATCGACATCGGTTTTGCATTCGTAACAAAATAACATGGCACGCTTAAGGGTAAGAATTACTATTCAACTACAACAGGGTATGTTCAAAATATACTGAGTCAAAAAAGAAACTTCACAAAATGTAATTTGAAAAAATAATGAATAATCTTTCTCTGATGATACATCTATGTATCCGAAATGGGATTCCTATCTTTCGACTATAGAAAAACGTGAGCAAAACCCACTCAAACCCATCCATTCGTCGTGCAAACGACGTTAGTGCCAAATCAGGTTTTGCACGTGCAGTCGATCACGTGATCTTCGCATCGAAGTTTTCTTCATATGCACGAGTTTGCATTGGCCTCAAGAATTGAAAAAACACTTTTAAACCACAGTTCTAACGGTACTTGAAATGCCACGATTGTCAAATGTGCAACGTGCCGTTGGCATGTTGCAAGCAGGAAGATCAGTTATTGACGTCGCAAGAGCAATGGGATGCAGCCGTTGTACTGTGTATGACTTGCGAGGTCGTCTACAACAAACTGGCACCACTTCTGATCGCCCAAGGTGGGGTCGTCCACGTGTGACGTCACGATCAGAAGACCGTCAAATCGTCCTACGTCACCTACGTGACAGATTTCTGCCGGCTACACGAACCAGGGCTGAGATGTTTAGAGGTCGACTGTCCTCACAGACCATTCGAAATCGGTTGCGGGCTGCCAATCTCCATTCTCGACGTCCATATCGTGGGCCAATATTGACGCCGTTTCATCAACGTCAACGTCTGTTGTGGGCCCATCGTCACCTCCGATGGACCCAGAGAGACTTGAATCGAGTCGTCTTTAGCGATGAATCCAGGTTTACCCTCAGATTCGCGGACGGCAGGCATAGAGTCTGGAGACGACGTCGTGAACGGTATACCCAATGTTGTGTACAGGAAGTCGACAGATTCGGGGGCGGAAGTTGCATGGTGTGGGGTGCTTTCTGTGGGAACAACCGTCTCGACTTCTGGTCATCCGTGGAAACCTCACAGCTGCTGCTTACCGCCGCGACCAGGTGCTCACCCCTGAACTCGTTCCTCTCATGGCAGATCATGGCCCAGGTCTACAGTTCCAGCATGATAATGCTCGGCCGCATACCGCGATGTTGACACGAAATTTTCTTCAAAACGCTGGAATCAACGTCATGGACTGGCCATCGAGGTCCCCTGACCTTAATCCAATAGAACACGTTTGGGATGCACTTGAGAGAAGGCTTCGTGGTCTTAGGAACCAACCTCAGAATTTGCAGGAACTTGGCGCTGCCTTGCAAGAGCAATGGCGCAGAATCCCCAACAACGTGTTCACAAGCATCAGGCAGTCGATGAAGAGACGGTGTTTGGCAGTGGTGAATGCGCGGGGCGGCCATACACGATATTGAACTGAGAAATTTCGCATTTTTATTCTTGTGACTTGACAATCTCTATACCCATGTTTTGGAACGGCGGTGTAGCCTAATGGAACTGATTATGGCACTGTCAGTGTATCGAGTACATCACACAGATCTCAGCAATGAAATAATAACAATTTAACCATCTTACCATCTCTTGTTCTTTTATAGTGCCCTGAAGAAAGAATGTGAAGTTTCTTTTTTGACTCAGTATATAGTGTGAAATTGTCAAGATCATCTACACTAACTTGCAAACAACAGCGTAAAGTAAAACTAAAACGTCAACGTCGACCTGTATGTGTTACATCAATTGTCCAGTTGTAACTTGCAGATTAATAGAATCCTCGAAACACTATAACTGCAACGCAAATTCATTGTTTTCTTTCGCATACGTATAAATCGTCCACATCAGAGTATATTCAATCCCGAAATTCAATATACCGAAACAGATTCCACTGAGCGTGAAAGACAAAGCAGTTTTGATATAGTATAGGATCGACCTATTCAGTCAAATGTCACATGCCCAATGCATAATTATATACATTTTAAGATAATATACAGTTCTTTAAATCTCATCAACATTTTTAAACAAGTATGAGTAGAATATAATAAAAATAAGATCCGAGGATGAGCGTACACATAAACAAAAGACCTATTTCTAGTTATAACAAGTAATATACTATGGTTACACTCAAAATAGTTAAACTGACAAAAGGTGTAACTAACAGATTGTTAAAATAATATCACGGGTGGGTATTCCCACGTCTGTAAAATCCCTTTCCATAAAATCAAAGTCGTACAAAAGGTACATTGTCGGTATTCTTTATCAATCCCAAATATACGTCCCCGTTCAGGCATTAGATTGTGACAACCGCACCTCAATCAGGATAATATTTGCCTATATATTCCTAGCTTTACCTTAGTAAGATAAAGCTCAACATTTAGAAGAGATTTGTACATGGAGTATGATGTCAGTATGATGTATTAATATTCATCTCCATTGCTGGTAGTCACTGAGTTGCTTTGTTTCTGATAGAAACGCTGATTTATGTCCAAAATCCTGCACGATCCAAATCTTTTTTTTAAAAGAATCTGTTTGACGGATGTATTCCATGAAGTACGATTTGTACTGACACGGCCATTCAGCCTTTAATGAGTTTGCTTCGGATGCCTGCTGTTGTCCATTAAGGGAAGTTTAGTCCAATAAGTTATGCATTTAACACATGTGAAACAAAAGCAAGAATAACTCCCCTAGTCTCCTAAAACAGTAGCATTACAGCAGATAATGGTAGATAAGTGATTTTCTGAAAACACACTTTGTCTGGACACTTTTAAATTTTGGAAAATTACATGAATTGATCACTTAAATCGGTGAAACCAGCTCTCCGCGGAAAACTGAGGAAAGTAATTTCAGGCTATAGCAACTATTAACGCTATGCGTATCGGCGACATAACTGAAGCAGCAAATTTTCGTTATTCACATGACCATGCCTGTCGGTGATCTCTTTGTGATACAAACTGTATACTTCCAACTAACTTTGGTTTGATATAACCCTCTTGACAGTCCTGGCAATATTCTCTTGTCTTTTGGGCTATATAACACGGGCACATGCATCATGTATTAGTGACCATGTACTTGTAGGTGGTATGAATATCAACAATAGAGAAATGATGAAACAAATCAAAAGAAGATAGTTCCTATTTTCATGTGAAACAAGCAGTTACATGCAGTTTTCCGCGTCATGGCCGAAATGTCACCATAAATCGCCATATGAGATTGTTAGTATTTATCATAATCGTCACATCGTAGTATCGGTTAAGCAATTAAGTGGCAAGCCACCTGGTTAATCGAGATTGTAATAACACTAATGTTCAAGTGAGTGAGTGATTTGGGTTCAACTCAGCATTGAAAGTTAACATTGTACCAGTTATATCACAGTGTGTTGGCATCATTGGGGTAGTGATGCAGGTCTCAGATGTTCACCAGGGATAAGGTAATGACATATAAATATTCACTCAAACGTTATACATGTATACAGATGTACAGATCCTACTTAACATCACACCATAATAGTATCAGAGGAGAGACGTAAAGGAGCGGTGAAACAATTATATCTTGTAGATGCTCGGAAACCACAAACCCATGAACATCCGGGTTAGAATTGATCTTCAGCAACCCATGCTTGTCGTAAGAGGCGACTAACGGGATCGGGTAGTCAGGCGAGCTGACTTGGTTGCCACATGCTATCGTATCCCAATTACGTAGATCGATGCTCATCCTGTTGATCACTGGATTGTCTGGTCCAGACTCGATTATTTACAGACCGCCGTCATATAGCTGGAATATTGCTGAGTGCGGCGTAAAATTCAGTCACTCACTCAGAAACCCCAGAATAAGCCACACACCATGTGCAGTGAAACTGACTCACTGACGATAACGAAGGTGTGTAACAGGACTGTCTCGAGATATCGGTGTACTTGGTTTTGGTGAATTAGTTCAAGACAGTTCCATAGCTTTGATCGTATATCGAGACCAGTCTTGGCGTTTCAACCCACGCTGTACGTAGATATCCATATGACATTGGTCTACATTCGAGGACAGTGGGCACACGACTAATGCCACCAATAGCCCCCAGCAATACAATTGTAATGAGTGTACTGGTCAGCACGTCTCCCAGAACGCAGTCCTATACAACATGTCTGGAACGTGTCACAGATTGCCATATCACGTCGTCTGTCCTGTCACGGAATCTACAAGAGCTTGTCACAGACTTCCACAACAACAAATACGTGACTTATTAGGAGCGTGATCTAGGGCTTCGTTGACAAGCTTGTCTTCGAGCTAGGGGTTCTCACTTACACTTCTGAGTATGTTTGTGAACAGTCTGAACGTCGGGGTCTCTCGCATACGCTACTGCACATGTTTCAACCCTTTCTGAACTGGAGGTTCACATACCACTGATCCTGTTTGTGAACAGTCTGAACTCAGGGTTCATCCACACGCCATCGAGCATATTTAAGTACAATCTGAACTGTGGGTTCTCAGACACGCCACTTAGCAGGTTTTAGTACATTCTGAACTTGTTTTGTTTCTTAGCAGCAACCACACATGTGGACAACGTTACCATCTATGGATAGGTTAGCTTGTCGAAGCCTGACTGCTAACATATGGAATTCTAAAGTTTAATGACATTGCCAGTATCTTTGTTTTTCATCAAAGGAGTGAGTGAGTGAGTGTGTGAGTGAGTTTAGTTTTACGACGCACTCAGCAATCAGACAATCCAGTGATCAACCACATGAGCATCGATCTGCGCAGTTTGGAACCGATGGCACGTGTCAACCAAGCTAGCGAGCCTGACCACCCGATCCCGTAGGTTGCCATTTCCGACAAGCATGGGTTGCTGAAGATCAATTCTAACCCGGATCTTCAGGGGTGTCATCATTGGAGGAGTATATGAGCATTGTATATAATACTAATTTAAAATTATGTAACTAAACTGCTAATGTTGAAAAGAAAATGGTGTAGCTCATGACAGTCGACTGACAACGAAGGGGATCTTTTTGTAACATTTGACAAATGACCCTCAACTGTGACCTTGAAGATCGATTGTATGGTTGTTTCACACTGGCGTCCACTAGTGTGTATGTCCCAGATTCGGTATATTTACGTGCTGAATTGATATAAATACTCTGATGGTGTTTTCGCAGACACAATAGCGTGGAATCGCCTTCACGAACAGATTGCACCCCGACATCAATATGGATAAGAGATACACCATCAGTGTGTCCGAGGAAGAAATGGTTATCTGTCTTGCAAGGGCGTACTGTATCAGGCACACTATCTACCGTGATAGACCTGGCACAGTAGATGTGTACAAGAAGACATATGCAATGAAGCTGGTACACATGGTAATACTAACACCACTCGTTGAATCAGGAACCAGTAAGAGTCAGTAATGAGATGAGACTCGGTCTCAAAGGGCAGTTAATGTCAGGAGACTCGGATGGTGGTGATAGATTTGACCAGTGTAACGGATTATATCCTATTCTCTGGGCGATGGTATCATTTTCACAGGTACCAATGTGTTAAGGGCAAGTAACTCTTACCGGTTTGGAATGACATTTATTTATTTAAACATACGCCACGCTTTGAATAGATCGTCATTCTTGAAGTACGTGAGGGTGTACATTTTGGAGATGTAGCACATGTGAGGGTGGTGTAGTGTTGCGGTTTACCATTTCCCCATTGACAATTCATGAAGACAGCTGTTAGTTTAATCTATTTTAGACACTGTCAGTTATTCTTCATTTACACGAGTTAAGGTAAAACATGATATTTTTGTTTTTAGACTAGCTATCGAAATGGTTCATGGGTTAATTTCTATGCGTTTTTGCATCCATTTTGAATTGTAAGTATTTATATGGAGTCATGATTATTGATACCACTAACGCCTTGAACCGTTAAATTAAACATAAGCAGTTATAAAAAAATCGACAGTAACAGGTAAAATTATATGGACACTACTACGATTAATACCCGCGCACATGTTAACTCCCCGTTGCAACGCTATACTATGGCAATGTTACAGCGAAGCGATGCAAAGAAGTGATCAACTGTCTGTGGCGTGCCCTTAGCGCTGATTATGAATAAACAGGTCAGACAGAACAAACGGGGATGACAAAGAAACGGAACTTATAGTGTCATCCTTTACAAAATAATCCCTACATTTTGTATTGATTGCATATGACAGGTTTTAATCCAAAATCGACTTGACGTCGTGCACAACAGCAAGGTAATACTCAGTTAGGGCTGTCATGACATTCAAACAAAGACAGGTCAGTTAGTTCATTGCTTTTTTGTAAACGTTCGAAAACTGTCAAGTGACGGCGCCTTCGTTATTTTCATTTTCAGAACGACGGTGTTCTCTATCATTTAAGGAACTGACACGAAGAAAGCGGATGAAATAAGCACCTAGAAACTAGACGATCGATTTTAAACACTTATGCAAGTGCCAAGCAAGATTACACAATTAGATACGGCATGAAGATGAAATAACAGGAGTGGCGAGCAATGGAAGTGTGAGGGAAGAAAAGCTTCCATTATCCGGTAATCACGTTGTCACAACCGAACGTAAATGATTCATCTTACAACTAAAAATCATCTTATACAGAAATAATTATAGAAATATATCCTGAACCACACAGTCCATTTTCGCAGAGTATATTCAAAGATAAAAACTGTTCACACGCCCCACATATTCTCTGGACTTCGTCTCAGCGGAAACACGTCCCTGTATATCAGGAATTCATCTTGCAAAGAAGTTAAAATCATACTGGATGCAAACAATTTAGAAAAATTCTTTAAGAATTGAATTAAAACTTTGCGTGAATTTCTTTCGAATCCGTATTACAGTAAAAGTCTACATCTGGAAACTAATAATTTAAACTAATTTAATCCATTTCTCTTGGCTTCATGGTTTTGATGGAAACATACAGGATTAAAAATGCCGCTTACAGTGAATGTATCCTGCCTACAGAAGAAAGAAAACAGTACCAATATAGTACTGGAATATATGAGCTGATCAAAGACTGAGGTACATCTTACAGCCAGTGGAAGACTGTTTTATGTTTGTAGCGTCTAACATGAGAGACACATCGAGCCATAATCGATGCCACCTTTTCAGCTCAGAGTGGAGTGGAGCGGAAACGCACCATTCGACCGAACACCGTAAATATGTTTTCAATTGTATGTTGTTATAAAAAAAAAAACATCATGTAGGCATTATTCAAATATTTTCGGTGAATAAAAAGAGAGCATACCATCAACGTTTGTCATATTCTTTATTATTATCCTGCATCATCAGTATGTAAACAGTCTAAAAGGCGAAAACATGCATTGAGCCCATGTGTAGTTTTGACATTTTGCAGCCATGAGGATCTGAACACACCTACTCTGGGAATCATTACGTCTTTGGTGGAACGTGGAACTCATGGACAAACTGATCAATATGCATTTTGAATTAGTACTTGAAAAAAATGTTTCACAAGAAACCCATTTATAAATTAATATAAAAAAACCACTTAGCTAATGACGATAATGTTTTTATGTTTGATTTACTAAAAAACGGAATTTATATGGAATATAAAACTGTTAAAACACTTTAGCTGGTATGTTGAAAATAATTAAATATGAATATTGCAAAGCGGCTCTGTTTGCGTCTCAGGCGTTGTTGAGAGAGAGACACACAGAGAGTGAGTGAGTGGGTGAGTTTAATTTAACGCCGCACTCAGCAATATTCCAGCTATATGGCGGCGGTCTGTAAAAAATCGAGTCTGGACCAGACAATCCAGTGATCAAACAGGATGAGTATTGATCTGCGCAATTGGGAACCGATGACTTGTCAACCAAGTTCGCGAGCCAGACCACCCGATCCCGTTAGTCGCCTCTTACGACAAGCATGGGTTGTCGATCGAGAGAAAGAGAGAGAGAGAGAGAGAGAGAGAGAGAGAGAGAGAGAGAGAGAAAGAGTGAGAGAGAGAAAGAGAGAGAGAGGAGGGGGGAGTTGCCAGTTTTTTTTTATCAAGCTACCCCACTGAGATATCATGCAACGGCTGACCGGTCCCTTTCCGTGATTGCAGAGAGTCAGTCACGGTAACAACAAGTACCACATTTATACATCAGTATGATGACGTTGCAGGGGAGCGTGCCACCTACCTTGTCAATTTCATCGGGTCAATTTTCATCGTTTGTCCCAAAGCTGTCTACATCAGGTTTTATAATACCATGTGTGATTTAAAGAAAATTAAATTTCGCAACAAAACGAAGAAGGGGACATTGCCCACTCATGCCTCAACCGGCGGACAGTACAATGCAAGCCAAATGGGACAATTTCTGATGCGACAAACGAACTAATGTATCGCCGTGCACAAACATCTTCAGTAAACCTTTTTTTTTCAATCAAGCCGTGTGTTGACCTAATTTAGTGCGCCTACGTTGACCAACTTTTCTCCAAGCCACACACTTTGCAAGAGCTTCAAGGTCATCGCCAAGCATACATGTTTTCGATCTGGCGCCGTGTTACTGCCTCAAATTAAGGGTTTGCTGCGAAGTGAAGTTATGTGAGATTTCTATATACGTGTGTGATTATAAAATACGTTTAACGTGTTTGCAAGCAGGTTGCTATGGGCTAAATTCATAAAGCGTCAGTGTATTTTCTTTTGAATAACATATATTTTATATATTGATATTTTATTTGTTCAGACGTCCATTGTTTGCGTACCAGCAGCAGATCGTGAGAACGCGTTATACAATCGTAATCCAATTCATCGCTGGAGAAACATCAGTACTCCTATGGGGCTTTAGTCAATAAACACAAGATATCTTTCATTAAAATTATGGTTTGGGATCTTCAAGTAAGAAAGGACAGTTTACTCTTTACATCTGGCATCATGGCCGATATTCAGTGATCATGTATGCAGTTCTCACGGCCTTTTTGGTATTTTTTACGCCAAACAGAATCTGTTTCTTCGAATAATCGAGACCATGCGCACTGAGGATTTGATGATAAGATGAATAAATAATTTACTATAAACATAGACCTCTGCGGCTTGGGTCCTTTTTCCCAATTTATAACAGTTGGGTTTAGCCGAAGCATATCCGAATTCTTTCGTTTTAGCCGCTGTGTGTACATCTGACTCTGCACTACTTCCGTTAAAACCAGCTGATGACAGACCAGTTTCACAAACTAGGTTTAGAGTAGTTCCCCTTTGATGAAGGACAGTAACTCTAGCGGTTGAACCGACAGCCTGCTCCGAAAGGCAAACTGAAACTATGTTTGGGCAGCTGTTATTGTGCCTATGGTACAATCCATTGTGATATTATGTAGGTCTCAGTTAGATTGTATTGACTGTGTTTATTGCTTGACAGACACATCACTGACCTCTGACGTATTGGCAAACATGGATAAGTTGGACCGGAGCAGAGAACGCGTTTACGAGAAGTAGGCGGTGCATGGCATTGAGCAAACCCATTTGGTGAAAGGTAGAGCAGATGTAGTCTAGTGCAGGTATATTGCAGGACGATGAAATTGATTCCGCGCGTAGCTGCACGTGCCATGCTCATAAGACTCTCACGTCAGTGTAGCAAGTCGCACTACACTTGATCGCGGACAACCTGGGGCCCCTTCGCTAACAATGGCAAGCGCCAGTGGGCGGCACCCATACATGCTAATACGGGTCAATTGTCAGGTCGGTTCTCAACTTGTTTGCCAGTGATATGTATGGATTCCAACATTTGAACGACATGGACGGGTGTTTCGACAACTGAATTAAGAATGATATTTTATAAAGAGGTTGAATATAATTAGAGCTCATCACGAACATGTGTTTTGGAAAGGTACATATCCTGTATTCGGAATAAACCTTTTATTTAGCGAGCCTTTGCGAACTAAATACATGGTATCCATTCCTAATACAAGATATTTACAATCCCAAAACACATCGCGTGATAACTTCAAATTATCTTTTGCACAAAGGCAGTAAAATTTAAGTTATTTTCCCAATATGGCACACGTTGTCATAAATATCAAAATTATCTTGAATTTAATGACACATTAGATTCACATACCATGACATTTATAATATTTAAGATGAATAAAGTAGATATGCATAAAGCATTCATGAGGATAACTTTCACAATCGATAAAAATATTCGTTTGAGGAGATATGGTTTTCAATGACATTGAGTTGAAGAGCGCCGTTGTTGTTTTGGTTTTCAATGTGAAACGTATTTTTCAGGCTACAAATATATCAAGTGAATATGTTTGTTAACGGGAGATGATAAGTAGAAGTGTTCTAATACCACAAACAGATGTTAACATATTTGTGATAGGATACTGGGGACAGTTCTGTGCTAGTTACTATATATAGACTAGGAGTCATTGGTAGTCTGGAAGCTTCTACAATATCCAGGCTCACTAAAGAAATTTCAAATTCCAAATTCTGTTATCTATTTCACACACGAAAGGGGAAAGGCTTACCTCGGGGATCTAACATTTACATGAAGACAAGACATTGTGACATGGTCGTATTTTGCTTCCTTGATTTCCAGTCTCTGGCCTAGTTTGGGAGCTTGATCACCGTATGTTTGGTTAGCATCATTTTGACTGAGGGCCATAGCTTTTACTTTTTCATCGTTTTCTATTTCCAGGTGTATTTTCTGTATCTTACAGCCAAACTGTCTGTATCATTTAGGCAAAGGTATCAGGAAATCTGTGTGTTTGCCACAGACGTTGCTAACTCTACAACTGAAGACTTAAAAGATCAAAAACAACTTGACCCGGGCCCAAAATGTTTGTTGTATGTATGTACATAGACCATGATGATATCATAATGACTGTAGTAAATCTATCAAAAACAATAAGAGCGATAAGAACATTTCTATAATATACAAATCCGACATAAGCATGACATTGTTTTCTTTACTATCAAATACTGATGATCGGAGATCACGCTCAGAGGAGGCCTCCATCGATGACCCATTCTCAGACTAAATCAATTTCAAATGCAAGTCAGTTTTTCGCTGGACAAAACATCGGATTATTCGTTTGTTTGTTGTTTAACGCCGAACTCAGCAATAATCCAGCTATATCTGTCTGTAAATAAACGAATCGGGACGAGACAACCAAGTGATCAACAGCATGAGCATCGATCTACGCAATCGGGATACGATGACATTTTTACCAGAAAGAGCCTGACCATCCGATCTTCATTAGTCGGCATGGGTTGCTGAAGATCAATTCTAACTCGGATTTTCACAGGTTACAATGCAAGTACATCAAGTACAACCTTTAATTGACCGAACATCTGATTCAGTTTAGTAATGGACATGTCTTCCACAACAAAACCTGTTGAAAGCTTTACTTCAGTGTTGGAAGGAGAACGAGTCTCTGTTAGTCTCCTTGAAACTTTGGTAGACGGAGCATACCCAAAATAGACACCAAAGGAGTTATTGTAAAATTGCCCGATCTGAAAGAAACGTTGACGAGACAAGTAATACGTTTTGTCATAGAGTCTCGAGGAGAGTTTTGTTTACAATCTTGGTGCAGGATCAAAATATGAAACAGCAACAGCTAAGGCGGTCTCAATAGTGTCCCTTCATTTCCAGATCAGACCGTATATTCGTGGAAGGACAATGTCTGCTTCACTTCAAACGATATGAATTCAACGAAACGACGCTTACGTTAATGGTTAACTTACCCCGTTTCTATTTTTCTATATGTAACAGACAAAAGAGAAATGGTCTGACAAGAAACCACCCTTACCCTTATAACGTATATGTGTTATCAATGAGGAAGTATTTTACATATTGTTTCCTCAGTAAACTTTACGAGACATCTGCTTCCATTTGGTTACTAAATGCCCTGACCCCTTGCAGATGGAGATGTAACATGACCTACAGTCAACACATTTAGTTGCTCACGTCCCATGAATAAGGAATTAGTTTTTTTCCTGATGTTTGCCATTTGGAGTACAAAGTTGACAAGTCAAAGGATTTGACATCATGTATCTTTTGTCCTTCAGTGATTTTGAGAATTCACGTGATAAAGTACACATGTCTTTCTGTGAATGTAAGGAAAATCTTTCTTTGATAGGCTTAAGCTTTATGGCTAATATTTGAAAAAAGAATTTGATGGTTTATTTGCAAAACCATGTAGAATGCATACCGAATTTTTTAAAAACTTGCGATGCGAGTTTGGTTTAATAAAGTGTTTATCTGGAAGAAGTCTCATGATTTGTTTATCATTAAGAAACAGCGTTACCGTCAATGTGTGACCTTGGGGAGGTCTTGTTAAAACGAATAAATTTGAGGTCAACTTATACGACAGGCGTGTTACCTACGGAGGTAGCATGCCTATACCGGTCTGTATACCCGGTGGGTCAAAAACATAGAAGTACTGTCTTAAGTGAACATTTCAGTATAACAACTACATGAGCCGATATTTTCAGAGTAAACACACGTTGCACATAGTCAGACTTGTAATTACCATTTGATGTCACAATCTGTTGGAATCGTGACATTTTAAAAGGTTCATTCAAACTCATTCAGATATAAGGTTTCGCGTTCTTCAACACACGAACCTTTAGAAATACCAACACAATTTCCACCGAAAACATATTTGCAGAATTCTTACAAATGTCTAGAACAAACAATCAGATGAGGGTATTGACACAATCGACATTTCTGGACATTGAATTACATCCAAGTTTTGGATAAGATTACTCAAAGTTCGCTCAGCATCAGCACTAAAAATTAGGGTATATTTCCAAACCTGAAAACAAATTCATTTTACAAACATCAACTCTCAGAAGTGCGTATATGCTCCAAGTGATACGATTTAAGACGGACACCATTGGTCTGATGCTCCCAGAAAATGTCTGATTCTTTTAAGGGAAGTCTGTTTTACTTTCGCCACAACATTTGTTGAGATCTTGGGTTCTCCTGCTCCAAATAGCATCATCGACTCTGGCACAATTAGTGAGTGAGTTGAGTTTTAACGCCCTCCTTTAGCAATATTCCAGCAATATCACGGCGGGGGACACCAGGAATGGGCTTCACAATCACTATTATTATTCATACCTTCCGTATATAACTACATTGTACTAACAGTCGTTAGTACGGCCCCACAGCGTGTGCATTCTTCAGCTGGGATGACACCACGTGTATCCGCACCCGTGACACGTGAGTGAGTTGAGTTTTAACGCCCTCCTTTAGCAATATTCCAGCAATATCGCGGCGGGGGACACTAGAAATGGGCTTCACATATTGTACCTATGTGGGGAATCGAACCCGGGTTTTCGGCGTGACGAGCGAACGCTTCAACCGCAAGGCTACCCCACCGCCCCCTGGCACGATTAAGACGTGAGTTATAGCCCGCATATGGCCACGCATACACATCGAGAATGTCATTCCAGTTGCGCACATCTGTTACACTGCCCACGTGTAGGATATGGAGATCGTTTCTTCCCGGTCTACGAACCAGGATTAGGATCATGACTGAGGTTCCACTACACTAAATCAGAATCACATGCTCCCTATGTAAACAACTGAAGAGACAGGGACATGTGACAGCTGTGATTGGATGAAATAGTGTGAGATGTTTATGCTTTTTAAAAGCACATCAATCCAGTAATTAAAACTGACCACAATTTTAAGTATTTAGTGCTGTCATTTTTTATCACCATCACTTATGCTTATTGTGTGTACAGATATTTTCCAGGAGGTGACATTTGGTGCGGAACTGGGGTTGATGTGTTCCGCTTCCTGTGCTGGGAAAATGAGCCGGACAATTTGGCCAGAAATTGTGTTTTATTGTAGTTTAAAGGCCTGACTGTACCCATGTGTACCTGGAATGGCTGTTGACAGCCTGGATAATTTAAAACAAAAAAAAGGTTACTATAGACGTCTATGGGAAAACATTTGGTGTTGTGTAACCCTGACTCCGCAGCGCTCTCTCCATCTTTCTATAGTGGTCTCAGTAAAGTATCGGAGCCAAGTCCTGGCCCTGCCAGGCTTCATCGTCAGTCCAGTCCAAACGTGCTTGTCAGATCTCGGCTCAGCATGTTGTTGGACGCTCTGATCAAGAGGTGCAATGATACAGTCACGATGTATGTGAACACTTGTTTTCCAGCACCACATGAACCCATGACTTCACGCATCTGTCCGTTCATCATGTAATTGAGGTCCCATATTCAAGGGTTACCATACCATTGTGTACCACAGTATTCCAATCGTTATTTGTTGGATGAATATCTTCAAACCATGATCCTTACCAAACTTTGTGTAATATATATTCGCCAAGCAGTTTTTCAGGTGTTATTGAAAAACACATGCTGCTAAAAAGAGAGGTGGGTCGGTTTTCATGAAGATTTGAACAGAATTTTCTCTCACTGAGTGTCTCTTCATTATGTGTTTTTGTCCGTGCATGTCGATGCTTGTGCGTGCGTGAGTGCTGGTGGGAGTGTATTTTAGGGGATGGTGTCCAGA